GTTACGTCAAACTGGAATCCACCAAAGAATATATGAACGCAGTTAGTGGATTGATGAAGCCACCGGCGGATAAAAGAACGTCCCTATAATCTGACCAATCACAAACCGAAGACACCAACCACATATCAGTTCATTATTTTTGTGTCCTGTTTTGGTTTTTACAAAATATACCAATATATAGTAGGTATATTGAATGTACCAAATTCAGAATCAAATCTAATCATATTTCATGCAGGTGAAACATTACTTATGGGTACATATAAAGATAAAATTTCAAGACAATTTTGTAGATTTGGCGGGAGGTACCTACTGAATTCAAATCCGGCCATCAGCAACAATCAAGTGATTCGCTATTTCAATGATGTGTTTTTTATACTCCTGTCAAATGGTAGCATTTAATAATGATAATCCGTCATTCCAATGAATGCCCAGGACATTTCATGACATGTATCCTTCCTCAGTTTATAAAAAGTTTTGTTAAGTACTAAGTGGAACAAACTAGAGTTATCATAAAATATAATGGATATACTGCGACTCAGAGACACGTTGATGTGCCTGTATCATTCATTGGAGGTACATACAGGGTCATTCCGTATATTTAAACAGCTTCTATAGGGTTCATCATTGAAGATAGAAAAAACTTCAAATTGTACGAGGTGAAACATATGAATATCGCTGATATAAGAAATGGATATGTACCAACTTCGATCTCAAAAATACATATGTTTTTGATATTCGGTTCAGCCCATCATGAAATATTCGAGGTTGACAATTTTAGAATGAGCTAGTTTTATTTTACCAAATCAACAACACATATTCAGGTTGTGATGAACTAGAGATAATGAATTATATGCATTCAATCACTCACATTTTTTTATGTAAATAATACGTCTATGCCGTGTTCAAAAACGTTGAGTTTCAGAGCTCATTTCAAGCGTAACGTCGTGACCGCCATTTGGCGATACGTCGAATGAATGGTCAGTTTTTACGCTGTTTCGTTATTGGTCAGATAATCTTCCATATCCACTCATGAAGCAAGGTTGTCAAGTCACCAATTATAATCAAGTTATCAAAAAGATGTTTGAGTCCCGTCGTTGATTAAAACATAATAGGAGGAACTCATGACATTTTAGTTCATTCTTGACATTTTCGAACAACCAGCATGTCCAAATATTTCTTATTCTTCATAACAAAATATCATGTGAATGTTGGAGACTTAACAACATTGTGCTGAATGTCGAGAACTGACTAGACCACGCCCACAAGTCGTGCGCGGGGTTGTCACGTTCACCGATTCAAATGTCCTCTATTGTCAATGAATATAATTATTATGTACACAAATTCATTATAAGAAATAAGCCACAAATCATAAGGGAACAATTTGAGACAATTGAATTTTGGTTGCTAATTAGGAATTTTACCAATACTTAATTGAGAATTTATAAATTATTCAATAACTAATATTTCTGAAGTTCCCAATCGTATTTCAACACATGGCAACTGTGCTATGGTCTGCCCCTACTCACGAAATCGTGGCGTCAGTTTTTACTGGCGGTAAAATATCTAGCCGTTTGAAAATTACCGTGGCATTATTGTAATTAATGTAATTACACTATTTATGCAGATGATACGGTACTTTTATATGAAAATAAAAATCCTATCATTTTAGAAAATATAATAAACAGAGACTTGATGAAATTTGAAAAGTGGCTGCATTCAAACCTCTTATCAATAAATACTGATAAAACTGAATATATGATTCTTCAACAAAAAAATAAACAAAATATAAATTTAAATCTCAGAATTAAAAATGAATCTTCGAAACAAACTAATGAGAAAAAGTATCTTGGGATTTGGTTTGATGATAAATTAAAGTGGGACAAACATATAAATGTTTTGAAGAAAAAAATATCTCCTATTATTGGAGCCCTGAGAAGATGTCCCAAGCTGAATAAAAAAGTTGCAAATATAATACTATATTCTCATATGCTCAGTCGTATTAACTATTTGATAAATGTTTGGGGATACTGTTCAAAAAACAATTTCAATAAAATATCTGCATTATATAAAAAGACATTGAAAGTACTGTATCGTTTACCATATGATACACCAACAAATCAATTATATAAAATAACTGAATCATTCTCATTAGAAGAAATGTTCAAAATCGAAAGACTGAAAATTACATACAATATCATAAATAAAAGATTGAAATCTAATTTTATTTCAACACGAAACAATGAAATTCATAATGATCAAACTAGACAACATGGTTTATTTCATCTTGATATCGCTAATACTTCTATAGGCCAAAAAAGATTCACCCACGCTGCTCTCTTGGAATATAACAAATTACCAGATAATATAAAAAATTGCAGAAATACAAAAATTTATCATTTCTGAACGAAATAGATGACTATTTTTTTTTTTTTCAACTTTTGATTCATATTCAAATTGATTTTTGCTCACCAATATGAAATGATTCGTCAAAATTTAATAATTAATGTTTTCAAATATTTTATTATTCATCAGTTTATTATAATTGTATAGTTTTAGGTATTATTGTTAACTATACTTCCTTATACCAGAACTTGATTCTGACTGGAAGTAACATTTTCAATAAATAAATAAATAAATTATTGATGATTTTAGCACCTGAAAATCGACTAAAAGATCATTAAAAAATATGAAATTGAAACGTATTTGAGTGATGATTCTATTTAAGAAATAAAAAAAAAATTAGTCCACTCGCCTATTGATCAAACTTTGTCATATTTTCTTTGCGTATGTGTTGTTGATTCTTCATGGCAACTGCGATTTGGTAAAATCAAGTAACTAAAAAATGTTCAACCTCGAATACTTTGAAAACGGCTGAACTTAATACCAACCACCTATATATTTTTGAAATCAGAAAATAAAGATCTCAAATTTTTTAGAAAAACACAGGGTGCTCCATTGAAATAACGAAGTTTGTACCCATTTCTTATATCAGCGATATTCATTTGTTTCACCTACAATTTTCTGGAGGTTCGGAACAAACCCTACAACTTTTGTATTTGAAATTTTTTTTTATCTTCAATGATGAACCCTGTAGAAGCTGTTTAAATATAAAAAATGACCCTGTACTTTTTGACGTGTGACAAAATTCTAGATGTAATTCAAGTCGATGATAGACAACGGGAAAACAATTGAGGTCTTTTCTAGCTTGAACGAGAGAGAGGAAAGTTCTCTCCTCTTCCATCTCTCTCTGCAATGCTAGCAACGTGGCCGCATTGAAATATAGAGAGGTCCGATAAATCTTTCCTTGTCTAACATCTACTTTGTGCCACTGAACTATTTTTTAATTCAGCAGAGTGTCAAATTTAACGATATAACAAATTATGTCAAAATAAGTATGTTATAAATCAAAATTTCTAAATGTCATCAGTCAATGACATTCATGACATAGAAATATCACGTCATTATAATATCGAAAATAGTTCAGTGGCGCAGACTAGAGGTTAGACAAGGAGAGATTTATCGGATCTCTCTATATTTCAATGCGGCCACGTTGGTAGCATTGAAGAGAAAGATGGAAGGGGAGAGAACTTTCCTCTCTCTCGTTCAAGGTAGAAAAGAGCTCAATTGCCTCTTTTTATGTATGCACTTAAAAATGTCGAATATTAGGAAGGAAACTATCCTTCCAGCATAGGAAAATAATCAGAACATCCTTATTGTATAAGAAAGGAGACTACTCTTTCTAAATAATCTAACCCAACTCGGTCTAAAAGAACCTTCTTCCTAGAAAGTATGCAGGGGTGGTAGTCGGGTGCATAGTTCGTCGTACCAAATCGCTTACTTGAAAAAAATCAAATCTAACCTAATGGGTCTATTTTGTTCAGAATGAAATGTAACTTAAATTGGTATTTTGTAGATTTTTTTACAGATTCAATTCGAAAGGCTGAAAATTGATTGATGATGGGCGTCGCAAATGATAGAAGATAATGTGAGAACAATATATTTATTGTCATATAATATAAAATGTATTTCATACCATACAAAACTACAATAACAGCATATAAAATATAAATAAAGGCGAGTCTGAACTCAACCGAAACTCATTTAAAAACTTAAAAACTAATACCAAGTATAAATTCCTTTAGTCATTACAACTTACATTCTACAGTATGCGTAGCGTGAAAAAGTTTTAAATTCTCTCAATGCATCACTTATTTATGTTTGTTTTTGTTACATAACATTCACAATATGAGATGGTTCATAAAAATGTGCAAATATAGTGTGTTTCAAGTTGCTATACGCCACCCCTGTATTCACGTTTTTCTCGGACACCTCGCAATATTTATAACATTTTCGTCAGGAGATTTCTTGTCCTACTATGATCACACTCGAAGCGGCAAAAATTGAGAAAGTGTTAAATACTGTCTGTAGGTTAATCGGAGGGTGGTACATTCATTTTACTTGATTTTATGGGATTTTCTCCTCGTTTCTATAAAATAATAATATGCGTATTATTTCAATATATTTGTAGTGAGACAATCAGATGATTTGCCCCCAAAATGTCACTGCGTTCAACAAATTTTTCCATCAGGGAGCCTAAAAGAAAAATCCAGTAGCTTGTCACTGAAACTTTGTTTGTGTTAGTTTTTTGGTATTTTCTCTCCTCGTTTCTATGAAATAAAAATATTTCAATATATTAATCAATGATAACATCCTGTAACTCATTTGTAGACTAAAATCAGTCATTCATATGTCAACAATATTTTGCCTTTTCATGTTGAGAACGGAAGCAGATTCGTTCCCGAAACGTCCAAAGATTAGTAAAAATTCGATATTTTTCCAATATATCTATATTTCTTTTCTTTGAACAATGTGTCACTGACAGGCTACTAGATTTTTCTTTTAGGCTCCCTGATTTGTTGAACGCAGTGACATTTTGGGGCAAATCATCTGATTTGTCCCATTACACATATATTTAAATACTAAGCGTATTTTTATTTTATAGAAACGAGAGAGAGAGAGAAATTACAATTGAACACTATAAAGGAGTTTTTTTCAGAAAATATTGTGCTTTAGTGAGCCATTTATGTTTATTAACTCAGTAATTTTCAATCAAAATATCTGGAATTTGGAACTTGATGATGAATTGTGATATCAGGGTGATATATTCATTTCATAATAACTTAGTAAGTAAAGAAATATCAGAAATATCTTCCACTCTGAACCATATTTTTTTCTTGCGTCGGTAAAGGATTCACATGATAAATTCAATTGCATATATTTATCTTCCTGAATTCATCTAATTTGAATTGCTTTCTAATATTCGTTAGAATCCATGCCAGAAATGCATTGAAAAAATAAAAAAGCAGTATAACGGCGTCGCTGTTTGTGATAAACAAACATTCTTCAGATGGTCTAGCTAGGCGCTTTTCTAAAATATTTTGCGTTAAACAGGGTGACTCAAAAATGCGTAGTGTATCAAAGTTATACTTTTTTTATGCTATATATTATTGCATTCTCAATTTTCCCTTGTGAGCTGATTTCATCGATCTATCACACTTTAGGTTTGAGGGAAATGATTATTAAAAATCGAGATTTTTCAACTTTCGGAATTTCCTGTGTAAAATGTACCCATATTGGTCAGAACGGCTCACATTTCCCTATCTCAACTTTTGATTTGCTGTCTACTGACATTCAGTTTTAACGAATACAGGGTGGTTCATAATTTCGACATAAGAGACATTCCAAAAGTTGAACTATCTCGAGTTTTCATACCTAATATCTCTGTAATCGTTTCCCTGAAACTCAAAGTGTGATAGATCGATTGAATCAGCTCACAAGGGAGAATCTCAAAATGCAATAAAATACAGGGTGTCCCATAAGAAAAGTATAACTTTGATACGTGACACATATTTGAGTCACCATGTATAATATTTTAGAAATCTGCTGCTCTTAAGCCTAGACCATCTCAAAAATTGTTGTTTAGCTGTCCCAAACAGCGAAGCCTTTAGCTCACTTTGCCACACTATTGGTCCACCTTGTATGTATCCTCATTTACTAACGCCATTGTACCTTTTTTGCAATTATGATGATTGGTAATCAAACGTAGTCAGAAGATATGGTTCGGATCTGAACGATATAAATACAACTTGTGATATTTGTGAAGAAACCATATATATATCACCCTGATGCACTAACGCCCTGTAGCTTCTTAACACACCCAACTTAGGATGTGTGTAAACTATCATGTCCTACGTATTTCTCGAAGATTTATCACTCCTTTAATATTTCGGAAAAAAAATCAATTTCCTCATATGACTTTCCACAAGGAACTTGATATGTTTCATAGTTGAACAACTTATAAATTGCCCACTAGAAGCGCTTGTGTTATTTTTGCGTGGCCATTCACCATACGTCTTCACTCTACTAGAAATTGCATCAGATGGTATTATTTAGGTTGGTTTTAAAAAAATATAATATTATACAACTCAAACATGGAAGAGTCGACTCTCTAGTAAAAATTAAGAGGTGCATCAAGACATTGAAAGTATTGAGAGTATTCCAAACGTTCTTTTCAACTAAATATAGAATGTATTTAAAGTCACTTGGTACTATATACCGAATGATGGAATGATATAATATGATAATTGTAGTTGAACTTAATGATGGTTCATCAACAGTTGAACAATTTCATTGTGGTGATATCTTCTGGCTGAATTCAAAGCTGTACCGCCGTTGTGGGTTTTTGCGTGTACATTCACGCCTGCTTTCAGGAGTACTTCTACTCCTGCAACGAATCCACTTTTCACGCAAGTAAAAAGGGCCAACGAATGTGGTTTTGGAAAATTCACATCGGCACCATATTCAATCAGAAGTTTCATCACGTCTGCATTTTTTGATAAACATGCAGAAGATAGTGGAGTGAAAACCTTGCCAGAATATGAAATTACTTTATTGGGATCCGATCCATGCTCTAACAAGACTTTCACTGTATCTATGTTGTTCCTGCGTATAGATTGTGACAACGCAGTTTGTCCACGTTTGTTAGTCAAACCAGTGTCTGCATCATGGTCTAGAAGAATTTCACAGACTTCCGTGAAACCCCAGCTGGCAGCCTTCATTAGTGGTGTGAAACCATAATCATCTTTATGATTGATTGACGCACCTAGAAAAAGCGGATCAATATTTCAAATGTAGCGATAGGATGAGTGGCACGTATTCAAAACGCCCCGATAACAGGCATAGATGAGCTTTCAGACCAATCAGGTCGATTTTGGCCTTGGCGGTAAATTCGAATCTCGGATCTTGGCGATTTTGAATCACCGAGTCATACATCGAATAGTGATCAATGAATTATTTCCCATGTGTCTGGTAATATTGATTAGCAATTGATGAAGCATGTGATAGGAACTAGAGAATGAAATTTAGGACAAATTGCTGTAACTAAAAATATATTTTGGTAAAACTGCATTTATCATGCGACGGGTTCTTTTTCGAAATTTTTTTTTGTTCTTATGTATTTTGTCTGACAAACACGAATGTGACAATGAAAATGTGAACAAACCACTATTTATCGAGATATTTAAAGAAAAAGTTCGAAATTTCGCCTTCTTTTTCCCCTCGTGTTAGATGCATTTACAGGTACTAGGTACTTACTCTTTTTATTTTGTCATTAGACAGTTTATATACTTATGATATTCTTCAATGACACATTTATATATAGAAAATTCAACAGGAAATATGATTTTCATGGCGAGTTTTTCATATTTAGTTGAACAAGCATAAGAGATAACGGTCATTTAATCAAGTCAATGCTTTTGAATGACATTACACACGCCATTATTTCAAATGATATTCTTCGTTCTTTTCACTAAATATGGATAAATCACAAGAAAATCATGTTTCTAGTTGACTCATATAATAGAAAAAAATGTGTTGTACATTGTGATATACATAAATTGTCCAATGATGAAAAAAGAAGAGCAAATTGTTCTAAATGCGATCCAGAAGACAGGCTGAAGAGAAGGTGACATTTGTAACTTTATAGTGAAATATCTTGATAAATAATAGTTTGTTCACATTTTCATTATCAAATTCGTGTTTTTCAGACAAAAATACGTAACTACAAAAAAAATCCATCGCATGATAAATGCAGTTTTACCATTTCCTTTATTTTCGTGGTCCAAAGAGGAAGTAAGTTCTATACATATTAACATATATATTAACAAAGATATTATTGTGATTGTATATTGGGTGATGTTCGTGCGTATTTTACCTCTATTTCCGATTTAATGACAATGAGTTGATCGAAATCAATACTCTTATCGTAATGAAAATCTGCCATCACTTGTGGTCCAGAACTCCGAGAGTATAGTTCATGCTGACTCCAATGTCCAGAATAATTCAAAATTCAAACCATTTCAAACTGATGTTTTCCAAATTAAAAAACTTAAGCCGAAACACGCACGCGTGAAATTCAACGTTGTGATTGGTCTAAAAGCTTGCCTATGCCTGTTATCGGGGCGTTTTGAATACCTGCGGATGAGTGATGAGTTTCAAGAAATAATCCATATTATACAGCCGTATTTGAGGTGATCTAAACTACTCAACACTAATTTCGTCGCACACCAAAATGTCGCCCCTGTTATAATGTGAATAACTTTTTCCAATTTAAAACAATTTGAATTTGGTTCACACTGTTCGATAGCCCAGTCCTTCAGCTATAATCTGGTACTTCATTGAAACATAAGGGTATTCACATAAAATCTCTACATGGTGTTTTCCGACACTGTGCAAAATTTCGGAATATTCAAAAGGTTCTCAAATGGTGAAAAAATTTGTTTTCTCAACTTCGACAACAGAGGCATGAAGATGATCTCATTACCTCGAGATATTTCGCGAATCAACTTCCTATCTCTCTTATTTACAGAGTGATCTCAAAAAATCAACTTTTTGGTTTTGCAGCCACAACTTTTTTCCACGTCAACCGATTTTGTAAATCTTAGGCTCATTTTGAAGATAACACTCCAGATGAAGAGATCTGGATATCAGAATTAACTCAAGATGGCTATCGAAGATCTAGAGTTTTCTTGAAAGTGACCCAAATCTGGAACGCCCTACGAATCTCGGTTGGGAGGAGAATTGAATGAAAATCAACTTGTTCTCGGAAAAACAATTCATTCTGGATGCGTCCATATTTTCCTCGCTCTCAGTAGTCAAGAATTTTGCGTGAGAAAACACAATTGAAACATGTTCTTACAAAAACGTTAGATCATTTCTCCTCTGTAATGCATGGCCCGCCGTAACCAACGTTACAAGAATCACAATGGGTGACTGACAAACCCGACCAGCTGAGGCTCATCATAAATGGTGTACCAACAAGAGCAACGGGTTTGATTTTCTCAATAAAGTGATTTTTTTAACAGTTGTCACGTACATAACATGCGATTTAAGAATATGGAGAAGTATTCAAGCAAACAACGTTTATTTATTGTAAAAACGCATTTCAAAAATGGTGATAGTTTCACGAAAACAGTTTGCCAATTACGTAAAGTTTTCAGTCGCAATGAACGAATCGACAGTAATAACCAAACAATTCGTGTCGGAGATAAGCCCTTTGAATGGATCGGACTGTCGTGTTTAGCAGATCCGCGATTTGGAGGAAAGATAACCCTTGTTCCCTCATTTGTGGAATCAATTCCAACTGGTCGGGCGTTAGATGCGGCATCGAAACTATCAAAATCTGTTTATGATTCGAAAACGACGTCTAACCTGACTTGTCAGTCACTTACTGTGATTCTTGTAACGTTGGTTACGGGCCATGCATTACAGAGGAGAAATGGTCTGATGTTTTTGCAAGAACATGTTTCAATTGTGTTTTCTCACGCACATTCTTGAGTACTGAGAGCGAGGAAAATATGGACGCATCCAGAATGAATGGTTTTTCCGAGAACAAGTTGATTTTCATTCAATTCTCCTCCCAACCGGGATTCGGAGGGCGTTCCAGATTTGGGTCACTTTCAAGAAAACTCTAGATCTTTGATTGCCATGTTGAGTCAATTCTGATATTCAGATCTCTTCATCTGAAGTTTTATCTTCAAAATGAGCCTAAGATTCCCAAAATCGGTTGACGTGGAAAAAAGTTATGGCTGCAAAACCGAAAAGTTGATTTTTTGAGATCACTCTGTAAATAAGAGAGATAGGAAGTTGATTCGCGAAGTATCTCGAGGTAATGAAATCATCTTCATGCCTCTGTTGTCGAAGTTGAGAAAAACATTTTTTTCACCATTTGAGAGCCTTTTGAATATTCCGAAATTTTGCACAGTGTCGGAAAACACCATGTAGAGATTTTATGTGAATACCCTTATATTTCAATGAAGTACGAGATTATAGCTGAAGGACTGGGCTATCGAACAGTGTGAACCAAATTCAAATTGTTCTAAACTGAAAAAAGTTATTCACATTATAACAGGTGCGACATTTCGGTGTGCGACGAAATTAGTGTTGAGTAGTTTATGTAGGGTGAGAAAATGCCTGAAAATTTATGGCATTTATGCACGACCGGGCGTAAAGAAGAACTTTACCGTACGGTTGTGCGGGCGTAAAGTTGTTTTTCATAAGGTTTACGTGTTCACTCCCATATCAATGAGAATCAATATTTCGATAGTTCTTATTGATGCAAAATGATTGAAACAGATGTTCTGATTCATTTAGCAGTGCTTTATTACGACTCAACTATGCAATAGGAATATCAAGTGTCAATCATCCATCAACCACCATCATCTGACCCCAGGACATTGTCGTTCTAAATGACAACCTAGTTAGGGAATTAGTTGGCGAGAGAGATCGACAATGTTTCAATTATTGTGATGGTTCATTATTTAATATAACCATAGATAGATGCAAAATTATATGACCGGACTCAAAATAATTTATCGGCGATGACATACATTTCGAAAATTTGACTGAGTTACCATGGTAACGTTGATTCCATCAATGATATTCTCACTTCTTGATTCATTTTGTTTCCAATACAATCTGAATATACAGCCTCACTGCAACCATTATGTTTTTCTATCGTGCTTGAGCGGTAGAGAGGTATTCACAACAAAAAATCAAATATACCGGTCGTGCATAAAAAGTTGTATGCACTTCGGACTTGACTTGCTTACATACACGCTACGGTCGATAAAAGCTTATTTTACGCCCTTACATATCCAGGTACTTATCGAGGTATTTTCATCTACTAGTTGGTGCTGAGTCACCACTTTTTGAACCTAACAATAATTACTAAGGAACAAATTAATGCTGTTGAAAAACTCGAAAATAAATTCACGTGTGGTCCAGATGGTATTCCAGTTCAAATTGTAAAAAATCATATTGAACTTCTTTCTGAACTGTTATATATCATTTTCAATCTTGCACTGCGGAAACACTACTTTCCAGACATTTGGTAACTATCCAGAATATGTCCTGTCTCCAAATCTGGTAAAATCACATAAATTGAAAACTAGACCAACAGTCATTATATCGGTTTTCTCTAAAATTCTCGTGATTATTCTTTCTGACTCAATATATTATATCATGGAAATCATCCATATTTCTCAAAGTGGTTCAATTGATTTTTATAAGAAAAAACAATGAAAGTCCCAAAGTCTGTCCACCACGAAAAAATCTTTAATAAGTAGTGTAATTAGTTTCGGCCACAGGCCATCATCAGTCACAAAAATTGATGTAATAAAGTACCTAAAAGATATTAAGAACATAGTTAAGGATTCAAGAACAGAGTCAAAAAGTTAGTGTACTAACCTCAGTGATACATATCAGAAGCAAACATTTTTCAACATTATCAAAAGCCAAGGTCGAAAAAACAAATTATCGGTGACTTGTGTCACTTGTTCTTTGTCATGTTTCACGTTTCATGTGATTTTGATTTTCTGATTCTTAGAATTCTGTCTTATCTTCCATTTGCAATTTGCATAATCTGATGAATCTCATGTGAGAGAATTTTTTGAAACTTTTCAATTTTAGATGTATCTGTTCATTAATATCATGTTGATCTGGTTCTACTGGACCTTTTCCAGATTTAAAACTAATACTTTTTACATTCAGGACTGATAATTTGTTTGTTCGACCTTGGCTTTTGATAATGTTAAAAAATGTTTG